CAACCCCCAGAATTCCCCAGCCAGCATGGGTGGCTGGGGAATTCTGGGAGTTGAAGTCCACACAACTTCAAGTCACCAAGGTTGAGGAACTCTGGCCTAGACAGTTTACAGTCATAAATACAAAGGCAAATCCAGTAATTAAAAGATCCCCAGTAAAGATTAAAAAACAGGGGAATAAGCCTCTTATACAACCAACGTACAGATTTGTCAACATAGGTGTTACTACTGCATTTTCCACACTTGCAAGGAAGCCAGAATTGGGTGGGAAAGTCTTATTTCTAAGAGGAAAATGTTCCTTAGTACAGGTACTGCCAGAGACAAACAGCATTTATGTGCTTCTATGCTACGTATTCTGCAAAACTGGGGAATCAACACCAGCTTCTCCCTGAATTAGGCAAGTGGATTCTGGCGGTAGATACCTTGAAAGTGCTCACACGGAATCGGAGCTTTTATAAATTCATCAGTCTGCCGAAGTGAGGAGGAAAGACAGCCTATCATTTATAATCGCTGCTTTGGAGACTTGCTGTTCTCTGCGTCCAAGAACTAGAATTTATTCCTTCTAGTTTATTCACTCCAGTGGCCCTGCCTGTGCAACCTGGCTTTCCGGCACCACGCCGGGGACCACGCTCCCCAAAAACATGGCTCAGGGCAGGCCAAACACAGAAAGTTGATGTCATGTAATATTTATTGATTGATTTTATTTATATGTCAAATTTATATCACCGCCCAACTCCCCCACAAGGAGGATGTCAGAGTCTGCACACAAAGTTCAGTAAATCTTCTGGAGTCTAATTAGTTCCATTAAAGATTTCTTTATTAAGAGAAAATGCACAGCATCTATAGGTTGTTAAGTCTAAGTATTGCTAAGCAAAACCTTCTCTTAACTTCTATGGCGGGAACAAGCAAGCAGGGCTCTAAGGAACAGTTTAACCATTTAACTGTCAAATATGTATTGCTGGTCTAAATTAAAAGAACTAAGATTTCTAGCTTGTGTAGATCCTGACAGAGGGACTACATACAGAACCATACGTATATCTTATATGTAATATAATATACATATAGTATATATGCAATATTTTTACATTTTTATTATTTTTTTACATTAAAATGTAAAATGTACTGTAAAATGTTGTTCCTGCGTTTTGAAATATTAAAAGCATAGGAAGCAGCCCGATCAGCTGTCTTTAATATCAGTGCAACTGATAGGCTGCGTTCCATGTTTTTAATATTTAATGTTTTCCCTTTTTGTGGCACTTAGGGTTCGCAGATGTCCAGCAAAAGGAGGGCATGTCCTCCTTTTTGTCCTCCTGTCCTCCATCCAGCAAGCATAGCCTTAAAACCAAGTATTGTCCAGCTTT